TCAGCCAGAGATACATACAATATTCTCAATTGAAAGTACTACTAAACAGAATACCAGCCAAGAAGTCTACTCTACTTTGACTTCTGATCACTCCAACTTCATCCTGACAGAAGTCAGTTCCCATTTTTCCCCCAAGCAGAATTCTGGTGGTTCATATAACAATTTCTTTCTGAACTCAGAACCGGATTAAAATAAAACAGGGGAAGAAAATGCTTTGAAGAAACACAAACATTTTAAAACAAAAACAATCATTTTTCTAAACAGTTTTATTTACATTTTTCATATACATGTTAAATGATACATTCTGACTAGTATCCACACCAGTGTGAATTACATGAATTAAAGATACTGATGTATTGCATATGATGAAATGCAAAACGATCAACCCTAAGCTTTGGTCCCACTATTTGATTGCTCATACAGCATCTGGTTTGTTATCAAGACATCTAAAATCAAGTGTTCATATCAAACAGAAGTGAACAAGTATATCAAAAAAGTTTATCTAGTTTCATTTCATTAGAACAAGCAATAATACAGAAGTCTTACTTGCAAAATTTGCAAGACAAATATTAAGACATATTACCAGCCAAACACTTTACACACATGTTACTAGCTTTGTATTTATTGTTTCTAGACTTAGGTTTTCACAGCTGTCTTGTGCTAATGATTTTTAAATTTTTAATTATGGCAACCTTTCAACCCCTACTAACAACAGTGCAAAGTGACCAGGCTATAAAGTAATATACTCAACAACAAAAAAGGTAAAAAGGTGTGGTGTGAACTGGTCTGAAACACTCACAACAATTACAGAGTTTAATTAATGTGCTTAAAGAGGATTTTCAACCTGGTGATTTCTCAAAGGAAACTAGCAGAGAAAGAGGTGACAACTTCAAATACTTGCTTCAGAACTACTAAAGTATTCACAACACTGGTAAAGTAAAAGTTTTTATGTGCATGAAAGGCATTAGCAAGTCTTTCTGTACCTAAAAGACAGTTCAAACAGTTGAAGAGACAAAGGAAATAGACAGCTGGGCCTATGGGATCATAGGGTGTTACATCAGAATTTATTTTTACATTTCTGTGGCACCTTTTCATCAGATGCCAAAAGCACTTTAATCGCTAAAGCGAGCCTCACAACAACCCTGTGAGGTAGGTAGTATCTGTTTTAATAATGCAAAACAGGTTAAATAACTTACCCAAGAAGACACAGCAAATCAGCAGAGCAGGCTAGAATCCAGATCATGTGATCATGAATTTAACATTACAGCACACGTGGGACTGAGACTTACAGGCTCCTTTTTAAAACTGTGAAAGAGGGACTGCCATGTGAATTGATTCAAGTTTTCTGGAAGTAGACTTTTATGGGAAAGGTATCAAGAGAAAAACATGCTTTAAGCAACTAGAGAAAACAAGATCCTAAGAAGAGTGGTATTACTGTACCACTTGCTACATTTGAGTAGATGTAGAATAGCAATTCGACTATTTTACTTGCTAAAATATGTATAAAAAATAGACTACTCTGTCAAAATCACTAAATGAAACTCTATTCTCAAGTCTTAAGCATTCATAGGCTATGACTCAAAACCATGGTAGCTGGAAGGTGTTTCATTTAATTCTATTATTTTTATGTCCTGCAACAGCTTCTCTGAATGTCAAAGGAAATAAGAACCCATGTGAGAACCAAAATTTTCTGATCATTCAAACTTTAATAGTAGAGTTTCCATTAACAAACTGTCAAAGCATGCTCTCTTCCCAGTTAATCTCTGTTCTATTAACTACTAAACCAGTCACAATAGAGAGACCAAAACGTATAAATCAGTGCTTGGCACATAAAATAGAAAACATGAAGTATTCAGTTACTTCAGCCCAGTCTCTGTATCAACAGCAGTAAATTAGATGACACACTAAGTGCTAAGCACTGCTTTACACTATATTCCACTAGGCAACAGTCACACACAAAAAGGAGAACAGTCAGTGGCTGAACAAACACTGTCATAAACCCAAGATGTAATCACAGCAGCAAGGCCTGCATTTAAGAGCTTTACATTACAAAATGAACTGACATATGCAGGGAAACAGTTTTTGTGCATATAGATTATAAGCAATGATTTATCCTTGAAGACTGGAAATGATTAAAAAGAACACATTCCTCAAGTGAGGCAAAGGGAAATTTGAGAATTCTAACCATCTATGAAGAATAAGGCTGATAAAGGGCTAATTACTTTTCTGTAAGACCATGATTCTATGATCATAATCCTCACCCTAGCTAATCTTCCACTCATAGACCAGCACTATGTGATGATATTCAGCTCAGATTTGTCATTTGCAGAACAAAATTCTCCAGTGAAAGACAATCTGCCAGAAACAATCCCCACTTCCCTCTACCTTTTTGTCTTTCTGTGATGCAAAGACGAAATGTTGTCATGTTAAAGAGGAAAGTGATATGTTTGTTTTGAGATCAGGAAAAAGCTTACAGATGACTGAAGATTTAGCAATTTGCAGATTTAAATGCTGAGGCAGTGAAAGTGAACAAAAAACGATGCTCAACAAATATTTACTACAGGTATACTTTCCCAGCTCAAGGGTGGGAAGATTGATACTTCTGAAATATCAAAGAGAAACTTTCTAGCAGGACAACACTACTAAGATTTCCAAGGAAAAAGCTTTTGGAAAATACCTTCCCTGTATTTCTTGTACATCTTAAGGCTGCAGTAAAAGAAGCCTCAGAGCAATTCCTCTACCTCAGGTAGCCTTCAAAAAATAATTGAGGCCTTAATTTACACTCAACCACACAGTTAAAAGAATATTTGATAAAACATTTCATTCTGAACTTACTCTCAGACAGGACTGTACACAATATGCAACTCAAAACAACAGTGACAACAGTGCCCAATTGTGTGAATATATATTATTTTAGAGAGGAATTTTGAAATAGAATATATATTATTTTAGAGAAGAATTTTGAAATAGAATATATATTATTTTAGAGAAGAATTTTGAAATAGGACATTATTTCAGCTTATAGGTATAAATGGTTGCATACCCTAAAAGAAAGACAGAGATAAGCAAGTTGCTTTTTTAGTTAAATTGGTCAATATGTGAGTTTTGAGAAAAGTTACTGGAACCAGGAAAGAAAACTTGAAAAGTTTTAACTGGGATTTAAACAAATTGCCTGTTAAGATAAAAGATAAATGTCTAGAAGTAACCTCACACTTCTTTCAAGTATAACCATTTTTGAGTGGAACCTCTACCAGAACTCTACAGCTCGCATTTTCCATTTTTTTTTCAATAAAAGAATCATATATGCCATTTCTCTTATATCTGAAGTGTAGTTATAGGCAGGCACACACACACACATGCACACACACACACGAATTAATCACCTTCATGCCAATTATTTCCTTCTCAAATTTACCTTGTGTTACCTGTTACCATACCTGCTGGGTAGACGCTCATCTTTCTTCCTCAAAGAAGCACTTTAAAAAAATTATACCCTAGACTGTTTTAAGTTTTATCACTGTTGATGTTTTTAAATACTATTAGATTATAAGTTAGTTAAGAGGTATTGATTAAGGGAGGTAATGTCTGTTAATTCATCTCTGAACGTGGTTCAAGACAAGAAGCCTCAGACAAGCAGCTGTAAACAGGTAATAGCACTTTCTGCTGAAAGATCTACAATATAGTACATGCTTTCTGAGGTGGTCTTATTCAACTCTTAAATTTGAGGCATGGGAAACAGAAATCTTTCCAGTACGCACAGAAACCAGACAACTTAATGTAATTATCAAACTAGACTAGATTCTGAAGACTAGGTGCTGTAGGAAACATTGTAGGGTACAAAAAGCTAGTGGATTTGGCTGCAGGGTCCCAAAGGGAAAGCTACACCTTCATGTGTTAGCTCATTTACAATCTCTCAAATATGTCCAATAACCAACATCACAACTACTACTACAAACTACTGGAAACAAAATAGTTAAAATTCTATATTTAATTAGGTAATATTAAATTTAGGTTGCATTATTTTGCATTATAACATCTCACTATAAATTACAATATAAAAATGTCTGCTAGATTCCTATGATCCCAATTTTATTTAATAATCTCAAAAATTTACTAGCAGAACACATTTGGATACATAATGTAAAATAAGACATTACACTGCAGTTTTGGTACTCAGATTGCTGCTTAGCATTTGCACATAAAATGGAAAAAAATTTAGCTATCTCATTTCTCACCTACAGAACACATGTCCCCACCCTGTAGTTTAGAATGTAGGAGATGTCACTTAAAAATGTGCAGCTAGAAGATGCCCACAAAAAAGCATGTGTATTACCATCAATTACAGGAAAAAAAACAACCCAAACCCAAAACAACCCCAAACTCAGATCATCCAGTGCATTTCATGGCATATCATTAAAGACTGTTTAAATAATCAATGCACTGGTGGGAAGTTTTAAATGATTATGTAAACAATCATAATTTTCTTGGGATTTTCAGAAGCTAAGGAGTTGTGCCAATGCATTTTCCCCGCATTTTCATTCCAGAAACCAGTTTCCATCCCACACCCTCCCTGAAATCACTATTCACAGAAACACTCAATTCCCTAAGAAATAAAAAAAAAATAAAAAATCCATTCACAGAAAGTCATTCAAGTAAGTTTGCATGTATAAATAAAAAAAAAAAAGTCCTCTAAATAAATGACACAGGAGGCAATAAATTGACACGACAAGTAAATAAAAGGCTAAAGCACTCCAATACCATTGAAACGGTTTTAATGTTGTTGCAATTCCATAATGCAACAATCATCAACTCATAAAAGACCCAGTACTTTAGAATTCATTTTAATCACTCCTTTGTACCTATTTTACAAAATAAAGGCAAGGCATATTTAAAATCCCCTTTTCCCTAGGTATTATGTGCCTATCTTACTTATGCTCATAGAAGTGTAAACTTAAAACTCCTATTAAATGTTATATAAGAAAAAATATAAAAATATTAACCTCTGCTTCAATGTACAGTTTCCAGAATCTGCCAGAACTGGGGAACTGGGCAACAAGGCGTTCATAGGTCTTCCGTGCTTTGTCTATAGCTTGGTTCTAAAAATTGAAAATCAAAACAGCATTTACAATATTATGATTTATGTAAATGAATATGCTGATTTTACTCCAGTACCAAATAGTGTGAGTGGACCATAGATAAGGAAATGTAATCCTATGTCACTAAACCTGTGCCTCTCGAATGAGAATGCTCCAAGCGTCAAGGTCATATGGATTTTCTTCTAGTTTCTTTTCAGCTTTCTTCACTTTTTCTGGGACATATTCAGCAGCCTGGAAAAATTTAAAAACAAGACATAAGAGATCACAAGTAGTGTTCAAAAAGTTCTGTCCCAGCTACAAAGTCAAGTTAATGACAACATTCTGACAACATAACATTTCAGGTATCAATTTTTACGCTGGAGTTACTGATTGCAACTTTATCTGGAAAACAAGTTGTCCCAGTAAGGTAATGCACTCTTACCACAAGTTCTAAGTATTTGGTGATCTGGCAAAAAAGCTAGACTAAACTGACTAAAAGTTTCTAATACACTCAAGCACATTTGAGTTTGCCAGAGAATTTATTGCACTGAAAATGTTAAATACAGTTTTTACTGACCTGAAACTTTTAAGATGCAAAAAGTAAATTCAGAACAACTTGTCTATTGCAGACCTTAGCCAAAAAAATCCAGGTTACTGCACAAGTAATTCTGTATATGCAGGACAGTATTTTGCATCACAAGTTACAGATTTAACAAGAAAACCAGGAGATGACAGTTTTTGCAGCAACGTGTATGTCATCCAAGCACAATTTCTCTGTTACCTTTCTCATTTGTCCATTAGTGTACAGCTGTCCTCCAGTAGTTTTGGCACTAAACCACTTTTTTTTTTTTAATTCACTCATATCAGAGTTCTAAAAGCTTTTTTTGATACTAAAAGTTTTACCAAATTGAGTGTTAACTCGTTAACACAGTTACACTATAATAGTGTAGATATAAGTATTCTTTTAAAGGCTTGTGAAAATCTCTTACTTCGTAATTCTTCTCATCTACTTTGTGCTAACAATGTTGAATCTAGAAAAAATCCGAAGATCACAATCTGATGATTACGTACAAATAAGACTTAAAATACATGCTTGTTACAAGTCTAAATGATACTGTGTTTTATGAAGCACGAAATAGTTCTGACCTGGACTCCAAACAGCTTATTTACTAACTTTCCAAACTTGACTCATTTTCAGATGTTAGGAGTCCCAAATCACACGATCAAGTAAACTCTTGCTTTCTTGAGATGTAACAATAATAACCTGTAAATTATTACTACAAGACCATTCTTGTGAAATTTTACAAGTTAGCTTTATAATTACTGTTAGAATATATGATTCTGTACTGTATAACACAGTGTGATTTATTTACTACACAGAAAATCCTAAAACACTCCTGTCAAATGCTAAAAGATCATTTCAAGGTAATTCTTAATATTTGATCTAGGTTAATACACAGCTCTAAAAATGAAAAAGACAGTAAACACAGCAGAGAGAACTGATACTCATATCAAAGGTGCCATCATAAAAAAAGGGAAACAGAAGGTAACTAGACACTACAGAGCTCTAGCTTCTAATAAAATTAACAAACACCACTATTGCACATCACTCTTGAATGAAAGCAGACATTCCAAGAATACAAACGCAAGGTATTAATAATAGATGTTACTGAAGACCATTTACAGTGGCATTATACAAAGATAAGCTGCCAGTGAAGTATAGTATAAAACAGTGACTAAAAAAAGAAAAGCCGAGGCTGGTAAATCTAACTAAAAAGTAAGCTTGAGTTACTTAAGAACATCCACTTTATTTTCCTGAGTGCCCTGGCTCCTTTGCTTTTGTCAACCTCTGCAAATGCACTACTGTACAACAGCTGCTTATGTTATACACTGAAATTCAACTTGATAACTTAAAAAGGCTACCCTATTTTTTCAGCACTACCAGTTTTTGTGTCAGCTCTACTAGCAGGATATAATTCAAGACATAACCCTTAAGATTTTAAGACTAAGTAAATTAGATTTACTTATAAAACAAAAATTATCAAAAACATTGCAGAACTGCTAAACTGACAGATAATAGCAGCCATGCATGAAAGATAAAAGGCAAAAAGAGAAATAAGGAGGATGAGCTTTATAGGAGTTTAAAGACCATTATTTGTAACTGCTCACTGCAAACCAGTGTAGCTTGGAAGGCCTGTAGCAAGTCCCACAACAAGCTAAATTACAAAATTAACTGGATTTTAAAAAATCAAATTTAAAATTCATAGCACAAAGTTGTCAGCTCAAAAATAGTAAATTTATTAATTTCCATATACTTTTACATCCTTAAGTCCATCAAAATTTTGGCTCTCTAATACAACATTATAGTTCAGCTGATACAGGCTTAAGATGAAAAACACAATATGAAATGAACTAGTGATCTTATTTATTCCAAAATGGCATGCATAAACATATTTCATCTTCCAGAAGACAGCACTGAAGCTTAAATTTCCAAAGTTTAAACTCTATTTATGTAAGTTATCTATCTCTACAGACGATCCAAAGTTGAAAAGTTTATTCAACAAAGGTCTAATTCTAATTCACCCACATCAGTGGTAACCACTGCTTCCCATTATATACCATCTCAGTGAAACCTGCTTGTCTCAAATATTCAAACATATATTATTCTGCATTCAATTAGATAGAAATGCCTATCAGGAGTACTATGAATGTCAGCTACAATTAAAAAATAACAAAATAAACCACAAACAAAACCACAACAACCCCACACTACAAAAACAACTGAAGCATTTGCAGCACAGGGTCCTGCACTGCAAGTAACAGCTTTCTAACAGGAAAAAGCAGAATGGGCCACTGAAGCACATTTCGCCTATTTCTGCAGTAGTTCAGCTTTATTATCTTAAACCTCTCCATGTGACACAAAATAACTCAGCTGACACTGTAGTGAAACAGTTAAGGCTTCCAGGAGTTTAATTTCACCTATGCAGATATTGGGCAATAAACTCAGAGAAGGCTGAAACAAATTAAGCTGGTAAAAAAATAGATGCTGATAAGATGCACACTCATAACATTCCTACATATTTTTTTATGTTTGATACAGGACTCCTAAACTATAAAGCCTAATAAAATGTTCATTCTTTTATTAGAAAAACAAACAAAAAAACTAAAAGGCTAAATGCCTTCCTAAATAAACAGATATTCACTTAGTGGCAGCAGATAAAATCCTCCATGCAGTTAGATGAAACATAAACTATTGGAATTCTACAGATATCATTGGGGTTTTAAACTAGACTACTTGAAATGACTTGTACCCTATGTCACACTCAACTTCCTAAGGGCAGTGAGCACTCCCTCTCCTGCCTCTATCGTTCTCCAAGACAAATAAAAGCCATCCACATTTCCTAGAGGCAAATCAGTATCCTGGTTCTACTAGAGCAAAAGTAAGGCCTCCTTACCTTGCATCTTCACACGTAATTACTCCTAATATATTTGGATTTCCAGCCTGGACTGTTCTGCCAGAACTAAGGCATTTGGGCAAAAATGCATTCAGTTATACACCAAAACTGTGCAGACTCGCATCTACCACAAGCATACAATGAAAGGGAGCAAGAACCTTGACTTCTAACCTAGCTCATTTATAGCCAGAAAGATGTTTGATCCCAGTTTTGAAAACTTTACAGTTCAAGGGGTATGCAGCTTTTGATTATGCATTTGTCATTACAATACACGCACAACAGCCAATATCCAAGTGTGAGTACTTAATTCTTGGGTGTTCACTGCCATGATCTTTTCCCTAGATGAGCATTTTTACTCCCTTCCTCTGGTTAAAAGAGGCACTTAAGTTAATCTCATCCTATAACAAGTCAGTTCATGGAGTTAAATCAACAGAAAAATAACACTGTTACAAAAATGATTAGTTTTATAACGGTTCAAGTCCTCGATTTCAGGATCAGATGTGATGCAGAATAAAAGATGCAAAACCATACAGGACTTCAGCAGTCCCAACTTCGCTCAGCTTAAACTATCACACAGCTGCACATAATCAGATAGATACTGGCTTTTAGCATTTCTTTACTGCCTAAAATAAAAAAAAAAAACAAAACTGCAAAGAACTGTTGCATAGAAACTGGAAAAATACTTCTTTCCCCTCTGCTATTGATAACTGTGTTCAGTGTATCTCACACATAATTGGGCTCCTATCCCACAAACAACCCTCTGAAGGTCATGGCATTTTAGCATTTAAGGTTCCATGTCCACAAGGATCTCTGTTACTACAATCTAGCCTGATTCACAGCTTCCCTTTTATTATTTATACAAAGATAAAGAGCAATGGAATTTTAGTTTCACGGATACTAAAAGTGTAAAATCATCTTTATGACTATAGTTTCCAAAATCTGAAAAGACCTAAATCCAAACTATCCAACAAGCAGTCTAGGAGCTTCTTTCTGCAAAATACCTCAACTGCACAAAATCCAAATGTGAATTCGTAAGAACATCTGAGGGAACAAGAATAGAAGAAATAAAGTTGACTTTTAATATGCAGCAGAAGTATTTATCAATGAGCTTCAAGGAAAAATTCTTGGTTTATACCTTACTCCTAAAATCAACAGTTAACAGTTTCCCACCTTGTGATTCCAAATTGTGTAAGAAAATACCTAGTTAAGCACCTTTTTCAACTATCTGCACCAGCTAATGCATCCAATTGCTTAAAGCAGCCTCCTATTTCCAAAGGAATCTTCCACAGTGAAAATGAGAAGTATTAAACAGCTGCTCCACCTGTGAAGTGGCCAGTTTAAAATGGTTTAAAAACTACCATTAGTTAGGAAATGAGAACTTCTACAAACAAGACATACAGGCCATTGTACACAAAAAAGACAGGAATTTTAATGGATAGCTCAGTCAAATCAGTTCAACATCCAAAAGGAGATTTATGTCCATTAAGACTGAAGCTACGTTTTGGAAGTATTGCCTGGATGTTGCAGTTTAGCGTAGCCTGGACTGTAGCAGGTCCAATGAATACAATTTCAAAGACATTAACACACAATTTAACAAGCATTGTTAGTGGTCCAGTGAGGTTAGTTTACAGGTGTGTCTCACCTAAGTTTTCTTCCTTAAAGTTTAGTTACAGCTGTATAAAGAGCAAGTTTTAAAACCCCTCCTTCAGTAAAACATTCCTTCACTAGACTATCGTTACACCCTATCAACACTCAGTTTCTTGAATCAGTTTTTAATGCCTTGCCACTTTCTACTTTACCAGCAACTCAATTCAACTATGAACACAATCTTGAAAAAAATTTTGTTGCCACTATTAACAGATATAACCCAGCATATTCATTTTAAATATATTTTAAAGGATACTTTTGTTAAGTACTGGCCTGCCCTAACATAATCTGGGCTGTTCTATCAAACTGAACGAAGTTTTAGATTAGTAATAATTACCATTCTTTCCCCATGAGACTATTTCCCAAACATTGGCATCTAGACAGACATTTTCTACTTTAACAACTTCTTGGTACACCTGGAATTTACTGACTCTGGAAATGCGGCTGAAATATAGAAATTACTTAAAGTTGTATAAATATTGGAAAAAAACCACTGGATTACCAACTCACAAGTCTTCCTCCACCAATCCATGTTTTCAATCTGCTTACAGCCTGTTCCTACTGTGAGTTTAAACAGTGACAGTAAACCCAGTTTTACTATATATCATACATAAAACAATATAATCTGAGAAAGATCTGGGGAAGAGTTTCTTTCAGATGGCTCCTCCTGAGATGTTAAACCCACACAATCCTACAAGAATAAACTTCTGCTTTCAGTACTGCACTCAATGACGTCTATTTTTAAAACCTTAAGCTAAAGTTAGCTACAATAACATTTACTATTGCATTTAGAAATCAGAAACTTACATGATACACTATTACAGAGAGACACGAGGCATGAATGAAAGCAAAGACAAAAGTACTCTCAAGAAACTGGAACAGGCTGCCACAGAGGTCTTTTCTGTAGTCACGGAGACAATACATTTCTTTTTTCCACAGCTCAGTTTTGGATCATGTAAAGTTACATGCATGCCAGACTGGGGAATGTATCATAGAAAACGGTTACAGGAAGCGTGAAATGCATGTTCTAGCCTTAAAAGATGAGAAAACAACTAATGCAGGGGGCAAAGGAAATACTCTTCAGGTAAAATTGATGCCTGGCACGTATATACTTATTAAGCAGGTAAGAACAGTGGTCCTGCCAAGGTAGAAAGAGGCAAAGAGCACAACACATTTAGGTCTTCTTAGAGGACACATGAAACACGATTGAAACGAAACTAGACATGTACATCGAGGTCCTGAAAAAATGCGGACATACATTGTTATATCGTTTGTAACCTCAACACATGAAGAAATTGGGAAAAGCTTGTCAGGAAATTTTCTGGCAACCAGCGGAAGATAGAGCCTTTCAGTCTACAAACTAGGGTTTCTATGATATAGACAGGGCTAAGCATCTGGCATTTTAAAACCCACCTTTGGAAATTCTGGTTTGTTAAAACATCATGCAGACTGCCAGGAGTCCGGCAGGGCCCTATGAGAATTCAAGTCCTCACATCATTCAATTGGTTCTGAAGAAATTAACGTGGGTCCAGCATAGTTGACACACTGCAAGAATTTTAAAATATACTGCAATAGTGGTGGCTTCACACCACTTTTCTGTGGCTTCATCACATTTCTTTGGCCCCCAACCCCCTCTCTGTTCTACCATAGTGATGCAAGGAGGGGACAACCTACATAGGTTAGGCTCCTGAGCTACACAGTACAGCAGCCTAAAAATGTCTGGAGCCAAGCTCAGCCTAAAGGCAGTAAAGCCACATTTCAGTTGTACTATACCTGGTCAGCCAACTAAAGACCAGCTGCACCTTTAACCTTACAATACCTTTACTCTCCCACCCTCCCTACATCCAACATTCCATTCTGTTCTTCCTTCCCACACTACCAGCACTTCATGCTTGATGCACCCAGTATGGCAATTTGTTACTCACACAGCTGCTTTTAAAAGTTCCCTCCAAAACCCTATGAGCTGGGAAGCATGATGTAGACACCCCTGTGTACCAGTGAGTCAGAGCTAACAATTCTGATTTGTCAGATATTTAACATTGTGCACTCTCATGTATACATCTTAAGAACATAGATGCAAATTAACTAAACAGTCACACCTTTCTACTGATCTGTGTGACTGTCAGTGAAAATGGCACCCAAAACCTCAGAAACTGGTCATGGAAGTAGCAGATAAAACCCAAACCAGGAAAGCCAGATGCAACCTAACCTCTGCTTAGCTTCAACTTCCCACAGAAAGAAGCATCTGTAACTGTAAGAATACTGAGCACACAAAGTTACAGAGACCTTCACACAGCACTACATTACAATATATAGCAGCCGCAAAGGTGGGAAGGAAGCAGGGCACAACTGTCCCAGTCATAATTCTCTATTGTTCCTTCTGTCACTGAGACACAGTGAATTTAGGTGCATCATGCCCTGTAAGAACATAGTTGAACTGGCATCAACGCTTACTTAAGGTGCGCCTCCCTCTCTACACAACTGGATGTGTGGTAGCCTAGGGTGCAGAAAACTTCATAGTTGAAGACACTGATAGCAACTGTGGTCTACCTCAACATTAGGAATAAGAAACAGAATCCTGCCAGGGTAAGAAAAGAAACTGTGGAAGACAAGTTACTGAAACTGAAGGAAATGATGGAAGTGGATAACTGAGCATAACAAAATTAGAAACTTCTAGGACACCAGAATCCAGAGGCCTTCATAAAGAAGACGGAGTAGTAAGAAAAATTATTTAATCCAACTAAAGAGTTGCTTGGGTTTTTTTTTGTTTGTTTCACGGTTTGTTTGTTGCTTTGTTGAGATTTTTTTTTGTTTTTTTGGGGGGTGGGGTTTTCTATATTTTGTTTGGGGTGGTGGTGTTTGGTTGGTTTTTGTTAAGTGGACTCAACGTGAAAACAGTAATTACAATGGTAAAAAGAATGAACCTTAATATAGACAAAAAAAATCCCAACCAAATCCAAGCCATATGTTAACCTATGTTTACACAGGTTGCAAATAATGATTTGCAGTTTCTGAATGCTAAAACCCTCTGTGATATGGCATTGTGGTGTTAAAGCTGTTACTTTACAGAACAGCTTTTACTTTTGTATATGGAAATTCAACATTTTGCATATTAAAGTCTCCTTTGCAAAAGAAAAGGAATCAGCATAGGTTTTAAGGTAAATAGCAATGTATTACAATCATGTAATGAAGTATCAGTGTATTTTTTCAAAATATATCAGAGTGGGTAGCTTAAAGATGAAACACACTACACATCAGAATTATTAACATTTTACTGTAGCATATTCTTACTTCATTGATACTATCTCCCTTGTGATGAGGATAAACCATTCTTAAGAACCCCTTGCTTAAACATACTACGAATATACTTAGTAACCTGACCAGCTTTAAATATACAAGCTTTTAATTCATAGGATATTTTCCTAATGAGCCAGGAACTAGGTATTTTGCATATTTAGCACTTCCCTACTCCCCTTCCCCAAATCGGTGACCTTACAGAGTTTACACATCACCTTTTTTAAGTACAGCCCCAGGCACACAGAAACATAACCTGTTTTGTAAAAAGACTAACATTCCACAAAGAAAAGCTTAAGGGAGCGCTAAATCATCAGCATAATTTTAAGCTTCTTTGTAGGCCACCCTGGCCACTAAAGAAGGCCACAGTGTTATCAATCACTTTACCCTCAAGTCAGGAGCTTCCATCCACACTCCTCCAACTAATACTGATTTTAAAAATAGGCCTAACTATTAAAAAGACCTTTTGAGAAAGATTCTGCCAGTGAATAAGAGACAGCTCATGGTAATACCACATTTCAAAAGATGGCATACAACACTCTTCACCTGCCTAGAAAATAACAAGTTATCATACATATTATATTAAAAAAAAAAACCAAGCCTAACCCAACTGAAAAAGTGGTTATTTTTCCACCAAGAGCAAGAACGCTGTACTGCAAAGAAGAAGCTTTATCAAATAAGACTACTTTTACTGGTTCTAATTTAAAGGTGTTTAAATAATACCTTATTTTGGAGGAAAAGGTACTGTTAAAGAGGCTCACAGCCACATGTTATGTTCAGAAAACGCTCACTTCACAAAACACTGCAGGTGTACCAGTATAAACAGCTTGTCCAAGTTTCAGTTTTCCTCTGAAGTGCGTGTTCACCACGACCGCGGATAAACGAGAACGGGAAAGCAAAGCTCACTGGAGTGCCTATTGTCCACCTCGACCTGAATTCAAGTCTGCTTACCAGAAACTCGTAGACCGAGCGCGACACAGTTTTCTGCGCACTGCCGGTTCAACTGACGGCGCGCGCCAAGAGCGGCTCCGCGTACCCGTTCCCCCCAGCGAACCCTTGGCTGGCGGAATAAAGTCGAGGTCCTCAACATGGGTGTGTGCGGTGGGGGGAGGGAAGGGGACCCCTTCGCCGACCACGCCACCGACGGGACCGGCGGGACTTACAGGGGTAGGGAAGAGGCAAGGCCGTGCTGCCCGCGGCCTCCCCGGGATCAACAGCAGCCCCGGGCGGCGGCCAGCTCCACATGCTGCGACACAACCTCGACCCTGCCGCGGCGTGCACAGCACAGCCAACACAATGCAGCCCGGGCCGGGCCACCGCTACAGTCCCCATAACTCCCAGTACTACCCTCACGGAGAGGCCTACAGCCTCACCCTCTTGCTCACCTGGTCTCCGGCAGCTCCGTCTGCGGACATAGCGTCTGAAAACAGGGCACAAAGACAATCCCCCCTCCCAAGCAGATTTAAAACCCCTTTAAAAAGCGCCCGGCACTGCCGTCGCTACCGCGGCCCGCTCCACCGGTCGCGCCAACGGCCGCGGAGCGGAGCCCAGCCACTTTAGCGATAAAATGGCGGCGTGGCGCCTCCGGCCCGGCTGTCAGCAAGGCGGTGGGTGGGGGCGGGGGGAAGGCGGGGTGTGGAGAACGGCGGGAAGCGCGTCATTACAGCTGCGCCGCTCTGGGGCGGAAGTGGTTGTGCTAAGAGGGGCTGCAGTAGCGAGTGGGGAGCGCTGCGGCGCGGCCCAGTCAGTCTCCCCATGTTGCAGAGGGTGGTCCTGTTCGCCGTGGGGCAGCTCTATCTGCCCCTCGCCGCGTAGGAGCAGGGGGAAGCCCTGGGGCCTGCCCTGAAGCCGCAAACGGGGCGTTCCCTGAAAGGCGCCCGGGTAGGGCCCTGGGGGCCGCTGTAGCTGTGTTCATGGCGCTGGGCAGGGTCGCCGTGTCTGCATTTTCTCCCTTTGCTCTGCCCCCAGGCCGGTTTACTGGCGGACCGGTTGTTGTTGAAACTCTGAAGGACAGTGGGCAGAAACTAAAAAGTTTTGGTGATTTTTAGCCTTGGTCCTGCCGGCTCGTCATGGGCTATTTCGTTAACGAAGCGTTGCCTCTTCAACAGTCACTTCTTTGCAGCAAGCCGGCACTGTGCCCTTGGTGAGGTAACTTCAGCAATGTCTGCTAGCAGCAGACCCGTCCCTTCCACCTCACAAGAGTTCTTGTTATTCAAGGAGGCAAGTTCAAAAGACAAGCTGAGGGGTCATCGTCTCAAAAGACCTCAAGGACACAGGAGGCAGCTCCCCCTAAAGCTACTTAACTTCATTTGCAAAGTAACCGCCAGTCTCTCCGTGAGAGGAAAAGCTTTGAATCAGCCTCTGCAGAGAAACTATGTGAAGCATTCATTGAAGGAGGCTTGGCAAATACCAAGGTGAAAGCTGTTTTAGCTGCCTTCACAACAGCAGTGTAAGTGTTCTTAAAGCTGTATAATACAGTAATTTATGCAGAAATACTTGAAAAAACTTGATCCTAGCACTCTTTAGGTTACTTTCTGCTTCGCCTTCCAAGTCGCTTCCTTACACCCCAGTAATGTGTGTGGAAAGAGGACCTTTTCTTCTAAAGCTTGACACTTCAACCTTCCCAGAAAGAGAGCAGATATGACCCACCCGTGAAGTAACATTTTCCTTTTGGTGTTGAAGAATTTTGAGTCTGTTATTCTTCAGAGGTGAAATAAAACATGCTTAACAGTCTGTGTTGGTAGATAAGCTGTCCTGTTCTTTGATTTCTGTGAGAATAGTGATTTTGTGATACAAGGCTACTTCATTGTTTTTTATGAGGTGTTTCTTCCATGTCACAACAGACTCTATTTTGAAAGCATTTGATGTTACTACAATTTCTTAAAAAAAAAAAAAAAACAAAACCAAACAAAAATTTCCAATTCATCGCTGTAATGTTTTTCCATTTCCTATTAGGAACAAATTCTTTATAAGTAATTGCTTAAAGCAATGCTGCTAAAATTTCTAACTAGATAATGTGAATATTATTTTAGGTGTGCAGAGTGTTTGCTCTCTTGGGGGGCTGGTTGGAATTTTGATCTAGTTCTTAGTGGTTTTGTTCAAGCATATTTTTATTCTTATTTTAGCTGTTTCTGCCTTTGGGATTGCTTTCTTCAGTTTCATAAAATGATAAAGGTGGTTTTGAATCTTGACAGCACCAATGACATCTTGTTTGTCTAGTAGAATGACTTAGTAAAGAGCAAAATAAATGATGCCTACTGCTCCTTACCTACTATAGGCCCTCACTCCATGTAATAAAATAATGTGCTGTGTCTTAAACTAGTGTTGTTCTTGATTTCTTAGTTCCATACATAGAACAAGCCATGGGCAAAACCCCAGGTGCTGTAAATACAACTAGTGCCTGTATCCTTTCTGCCAAGTGTTGCTGTGTGAGCCTGAATGAACTGCAATAGCGCATAGCCTTAAATCTGTTAGCTGGAGAAATTTAAAAGGAGCACTGCTGTACAGAAAATAAAATTTAAATTTTTTTATTGATACATTGTACTTTATCACTTGAGCTTGTCTTGTTTTGTAGTTAGGTGTGAACTTTTTAGCAACTTTGTGAAAATGGGTTTGTTTTGGTGTGAATCTTTCAAGGGACAGTATTACTTTCAAAGCCTGTGTGTAAATGATAGGTTACATTTCAAAGTACCTTTAAAATGTTACTTTGTCTTAAATTTATAGTTTACCTCTAACAGTGTTATCTTAACCCAAGTTTTACCTCTAACTTAAATTTGGGCCTTATATAAGAGTCTACTAGCTTGAGCTCAGTAGCATTGGAAGTTTATGTTAGTTGACCCACTTGGCAGGCTGATTTGGACCTTTCTTGGTAGTACAGGAGCAAATAATAGGGATGCAGCAGCAAAGCTTGCAACAACTACTTAGTTGCTAATTCCTTATGCATATGTCAAACCTTGTTTTAGAATGTGGCTGTTCCTTTCATTCCTTCTGAACCTGTGTCATCTGGAGTGGAGTAGCTCTAGGCTTCTAGCCTGAGGTAGAGAGAGCAGTAAGACATGATTACTGGCCTGTCTACTTTGGAAAGCTGTACTTTAATTTTCAGATGGTTTGTGATATCAAAGGAACAGGACATTGCTAATATGTGCTATGTTGTAGTGATTCATGCTTAGTTTAGTAATTGACATGAAACTTAATGGCAAGCTATGAGTTAACAAGCAAACTATTGTGGACTATGCTGCTCTGTGGGTGTTGCAGAAATTCAAAACAAACCTGAACGGGAACATGAGTTGGAGACTACTATACCTATGGTAGAGTGGTACTCAAATATTTCTGCTTGGAAAAACAGTAGACAAAAAATGTATCACTTAGGAAAAAAAAAAATCTCAAAGAAGATGAGTTCTTAAAGTAAATAGATGTTGAACCTTATGGGCTGCCAGGCCAAGATCTTGGCAAACCATAAAGTGGGACAAACCTGAAAGGAAGCTACTTTCACAGAGTTGGGGCAGTGGTCATCAGATGGAGCTGATGTACCCTTCTTCCGAGTGATTTTAGTTGCCACAGCAGATTATTTTTTAATACTAGTTATGAAATAGCAGGCTTTGTGCAACCTTTTGCGTGTGACTCTATAATATTATTCAGAAACTGCTTGCAAAAGGATTCACTCAGGTACTATTATCAGTGCTCAATACTGGAGAGAATATTTACAGCAGATTTGAACTGCCCTATTAATTGCTATGTGTTAGCGCTGAATCTCAAGCTACGAGTATGCTGGATGTTGTCCTCCCAACTCTGTCATAATATTGGAGGCTGTGTCACTTCCCTGAGATGGATTTCAGCATATGTAGGGTGAAGACATGTTGACCTGAAACATGTCTTGCTACTGGCTAGGGCAATTGTGGGCTCTGTTGTTTCCTCAGCTGAGAGTTTTGCAGTGCTTGTGTACCCCTATGGAACCTATAATCTGTCCTCTAAAATGACAATATTATGGGAATTCTGTGACTAAACCAAGAAGGTAATCTGAATTTATATTCCTATAGGCCATAATTAAAAATTAAATTCATCTTTCTGCCAAACTGGTTTTGCTCCCCATTTGACATCCACTGTTTTAGAATGTGTGTCTCACTAATTGGTTGCATCAGTGGCAGAGATTAGGAAGGAAGCAAAATCCAATCTAACAAGTTTTGCTGAGTTTGTTTTCTTGGGCTCTGCACTGGTACTGCTGGAGCTTGTAGTGAAGAGTGAAGGAAGCAGCTGGAGGGATTCAGGTGGTGAGGAGAAGGCAATAGTGCTCAGTTGAAAATGGTATCCTGCAGTGACATTTCAGCTGATGGGAATGTCAGTGCATGAAGCTATTTGTGTGGGTATGTGACTGGTAGGAGCTGTGGCATCAGATCTGTTGCCCAAGTAATATTCTCTGAAATAGGTTTCTTTCTGGACATTTTCTCACTCTTATCACCAGGTCATGTGCAGCACAGCACTACAGAGAGCCTTTCTTTGCTCTAAATATGTGACTTACAGGTACTGAACTAGGAGGTGAGTGCAGTGAGCCACTTGCTCATCACATGAGACTCCACTGGATTGAGACATGCACTGTGAGGTTTGGAATATGGAAGACTTTAATATGTCAAAATGAAGCAGCCTGGGTATTGGATCTGTTGCCGCTTCTACGTCACTGGATCCAATAGTGGTCTTATTTATCATCAGTAGTTGGGAGAAGATGTCTTATTTGTTTCTAGATCTGCCCTGTTCCTAACTCATGCTTTCTGTTGTCATCTTTCCCATTTGATTACTGTAGGCAGAAAGACATGTAGGCATACACCAGTGTCTGGTGATTATCATCCCACTAGAGGTTTATGATATGGAAAGTGCAGAGAGGGTCATGTGTTTTAAGGAGTGTCTAGGTTACAGAAACAAAAAAATAGGTTATGACACCAATAGCAAAGGATGAAATTCAGTGTCCCCTGTTAGCCAGTGACTTGGGCTTCATAATCATAGTTTGTTATGAAATTAAAAACAGGGTCGGTGACATGCAGTGGTAAAAGTTCCGTGTGTAATGCAATGAAAGGAAGAGTTTTTTTTGAAGAAAAAAAAATGGAGAAATTTGTCAGGTTTTAAAATTAGTTTATTTAAGGAGTGAAAGTACTTTAAAAGTTTAGTATTTAAACAGATAACAAAGGTGAATGGATTAGTGAAAAATGAGGGTTAGCAGTAGAAAACAATTGTAGCAGACTGCATAGTTGCAGTTACGTATTTTAATGGCATAATAAGATGTAAAAATTACGGATTCAATTCTAGCTTCCTCAACATCAATTTTTTTGCTTGAATTAGCTATCATTTAATGCTATTTAACACAGTATTGCCTCCTTTATTTTTTGTAAGCACCTTTTCACCTTTCCAAGAAAAGTATAAATAATCCATACTTAGACCAAACAAGCTGTTTCTAAAGTTTTTTCTGTTTTTACTCCAGTGTTCTTTCCTAGTATAAGTCGTATTCTATGACACTGCTTGTGTTGTAGATTAGTACTACTATTCATCAGTCTTTGTTTATATTATCTTGTGGATTCTTTGGAAAACTTACCATAATGGAATGAAATATGAAGCTGGATCTCTGTTCAAAACTGTATTTTATTGATGAAATGCTAAGCAGTGGAAATAATGCTGAAAGTTGTTTAAGCCAATGGCTG